TGTTCAAATGCTCCAACCATTCTCACCGCATTTTTGGTGAATTTGTATATCTTATAGAGTCATATACCTTATTTTGGGAAATTGTAGAATTTGTTATATAATTTTACTCACAGCTAAATAAAAGCATTGATCATGTTTTTTTAAATATGTTGCCTTCCTATTTTTATAATATAATAAAAGGATTCTATTAGGATTAAATTAAACAATTAAGGTTTCATGTGTAACCTATACACATTTAAAAATTACACTCTTTTAACTTGAAGTAGAAAAAAAAAAAGTCAGATCAGATTTTAAAGTCTTTTATCTTCTTATTAATTATATTTTCTGAGCTAATTATCCCAATTATTATGAAAGTGTATTCAATGCTTATACAAAAATATTCAGGTTCTAAATATTTAGAAATATTTTTCAGTCATCCAACTTAGAATCGAATAAAAAGCAAATCGCAACAATGGCATCACTATTCCGAGTGCGGGTTTATGAATTATATAGATTTTTATGCGGTCGCATAATATTTTTGTTGCCTTTTTTGCTTCTCCCTCTTTTTTGTGTTGGCCCCGACTCCACGGTTTTGGCCTCCTTGGCCTCCTTGGCCTCCCTTGAGCGGAATGGGGGGCAATAAAAATGTCTTTTTATGTGTACGCCTGTCTCCTAGCCCAACCAAAGGATCTGGATCTCCTGCTCGTTCGGTTGCTCCGTAATGGCCGCCTTCGGGCGGCATCTTTATGAATACGCTGCGACTACGACTTCGACTTGGTCCTTTTTGTCCTTTTGGGTCGCTGTGCTTTACGAGTGCTGGTAGTGGAGCAGCTTTTATTATTCCTATTTTCATATATATTACACTCTCCGTTTTTGGCTGTTATTTTTTCGCTCTAGCTATCGCACTGGCTGCTGTTGTCATTTTTGCATTAATTTCATATTTGGTTTATGGTTGCGTGTGTGTGCGTTGAGTTTTTCTTGCCGCTGCTGTTTATTTCGCATAAATAATAAATATTTTTGGTTATTGCGTCTGCACAGTATTAATATTATTTCCAGCACACCCACACACCCACACACACTCACACACACACACACACACTGCGTGCATCCTGCGAACCGCAGGACTTATGGCCATGAGCTTTAATTTCGGCTCATTTTTCGCTATCAAAACACTATGTTTGCGCTCGTGTATTTGTTTTTATTCCACTCATCGGGATACTCACATACATACATACGTATGCATATAGTTACACTCTCGTAAATATTTGCAATTAAATATGCCAAAATTCACAGAAAATATACAAATACACACACGCACATGTATCGCAATTTGGGCCATGTTTTTGGTGCAGCAAAGCTATATACCAATTTTGGTATACTTCTTTGGCTCTGAAAAATGTGCTAATTAAAAATTTCATAATTCACCCACAAGACAAGTATTTGTTGGAAAATATTTGGAAACCATTTTCAATGATTCAATGCACCTACAGCAATCAGATAGCGAAAATATACATTTCATTGTTATTATTAATTACTGCATTTAACTTAGAAGTAATGTAAAACGCTTTAAGCTTTCTATACTAACCTAATGGTACATAACTAAATTTCTAGCTTTAACTCTTTACTGAAATAATCTATTTTTAAAACATTCCTTATGCGTAAGCGTAAGATAAGGTTTTTAACCAAAAATTAATTATAAACCTTCAACGCTAGGTTGAAGTGATTCATTCCATGACTAATTTTCAAAAGTTGCTCAGCTTTTGTAGCTCTTGGGAAATGCCTTAAGTACTCTGGCCTTATAAACCAAGCGTTACCCAGACTATTTCCGTAAGTACATCACGATCACAGGTGCGCTTAGCCGCAAAGTGATTACAAAAGTGGCTTATCTTGGTAGTTTATAAGCCGCTATCGATGAAATCCATGAACTTTGATAGAGATAGCTGCGTGCAAACAAACTTTATGGATTTAAACTTATAACACCACGCTGTCCAGTACAATTGAGTGTTTATTTAAACGTTTTTTAAACTTTTTTACGTACATAACAGTAGTAATAATGAAATGTAATAAATATATAAACATAAAGTTAAAATTGAACGTTAAGTAAATTTCCCTCCAAATCAGGAACCAGTTAAAAGTGTATTTCTTGAGGGAGGCCTTAGGGGAGGCTCCACTGTGCTGCCCCACAATCGGGTCAGCATCATGTAAACAAATCGGGTGCAAGTGCACTCGCACTCGCCTCCTGAGAATCAGTAGCCGCCACGAGGCCAATGGACAGCGCTTATCGCACTTGTGGCGTAGAATAGACTGATTAAAGTGCCGTTGACAGCTAGTCAGTCGGTCGTCTTGCTCAAAGTGCGAGGTATTAATCCAAATGTATTTCAATTACAATTGTAGCGCACTTAAACCTAGCATTAGGGAACTCGAGACCGAGCCCAGTGTCGCGGGCGTTTCTCACTGGAGCCCGATCCCACAGAAAGAGAGCGACTAAGAGAGCTGAGCACTAAGAGAACTGAAAGCAGGGAGGTAGTCTCATGCTTAGTACTTAACTCAACTCAAAATACTTTAGCTTACAAAATTGTATAAAGTGACATAGCACCATCTAAACACCTTAAGAATAATGGTATGTGAAATATAGAAATAAATTCCGTTTCATAATTTTGTCAATTGGGAATAATCAAAAATATACTTTCATGTTTTTGCTTGATAATTCATTTAATAATTTAAATAATATGAATATGAATTCGACCCCCAACAATTTAAATAATAATAATATTTATTGGACCCCCTTGGCGCCGCCCCTGTCTGCTAAGTCAGCAAGCGCCGTTATCGTCGCGGATTTGAAAACAACACAGCCGCGCCAGCGACGCGTACATTGTGCTAACTGACGTCCTCGGGGGCAGTTGCTGCTGTAAGATCCACCAGCTGGATTAACACGAAAAACCAAAGGAAGTTTCAGAAGCAGACGCACAGCATTTGAGTAACAGTCATGGAAAGGCAGGGAAAAGGAGGCGAAGAGGAGGCGCAGACCAGGTTGCCCGATCTCAGCTTTGTACACGACAAGCTGCAGAAGTTCCAGTCCAAGATGCTGAGCGACTTCGAGCAGCGCCTGTCCTGCATGGTGGAGGATGTGCTGCAGGATCTGCGGCAGCGGGAGCTGCGTGCCCACGAGTTCCCCAACTTCGAGAGGTCGGATCGGAAGAGCACCTGGCACAATCGCGTGACCAGCCAAGCGCCAGCAGACGTCAGTGACTCCCCAAACAGCCATGCAAATGGCACTCAACCAAGGCCACAGCTCCAAAGCGAAACATCCGCCCGCAAGCCGCGACGACAACTGCCCGAAAAAGTGTTTGTTGTCCGGGAATCGTACCTCACCGCACTGCTGCAGGTGGAGCACATGCGCACCATCTACCACATTTTCTACATTATTCTGGTCATGTTCCTGCTGAACGTGATCTGCTACGATTACTTTGTGGATGGCCGCTTCGATCTGGGGCTGGGCACCTTCCGGGGCGGTCTGCGCCGGCTGCACTGGGTGATGGGCGTTTGGCTGCTGGAGCACGTCTTCGTCCTGGCCCTCTACTTCGCCTTCCGCGGATGGGCCTTGGTCAGGCACAGGCTGAAAACGCACGGTAAGTGGGCTGATCCAATTCTCGTAAAATAATTAAGTTAAGTTAAAGTTACTAATGCACTTTATTAAAAGTGCAGGTAGTTAAAAGCTCATAACTTAAGCCTTTTGTTGAGGCACTTGACCAACAATATGTGACGACACCCCTTTTAACAAAGGAAAATCACTTACAAATTACTCATCTCGGTTGAATTGTACAACGTTTATTTGCGCATTTGCTCTGATTGTTACAAAATGAGCTTAATAACTAAGAACAGTACGATAAATGCAGCAATATAATAGTAATATCATTTGAAGAACCGTATTTCTAGAAACATCATTTGTAATCAGTTTGCCCATCCGGCAGGTTCCCTCCAGCGCTTTTGGTCGCACAGCTGCCTCATCCTGTACATCAGTTCCCAGCTGGTCTTCTGTTTCGTGTCGACTTCGCTCTGTCTCAAGTTCAACCTGCCCTTCGTGAGTGCGTGTGTCCTGCTGCTCGAGAGCACGCGACTGCTGATGAAGATGCACGCTTTTGTGCGGTATAATGCAGAGCGGGTTCTGAATGGCAAGGCCAAGAAGGAAGATGTGCAGGAGGAGGAGGAGGCCAGTGGGCGACCTTTTGTGCCGCCGCTGAGCTGCTACACGTACTTCCTCTTTGCACCCACGCTTATCTACCGAGACAGCTATCCGCGCACCTCCCACATCCGCTGGAAATTCGCCTTGAATCGCCTCTTGGAGGTGGTGGCCATAGCCTTCCTGTACGCGTTCATCCATGAGCGGCACATCCACGAGCACTTCGGACAGTACGGCCTGGAACCAATGGGACCTTCCCAGCTGATCCTCAAGCTGTTCGGCATGATGCTACCCAGCGCGGTGATCTTCCTCTGCGGCTTCTACCTAATCCTGCACTCGTGGCTCAACTTCACGTCGGAGCTGCTGCGCTTCGGCGATCGAATGTTCTACAAGGATTGGTGGACGTCGCACACGTACGATGCCTACTATAGAAATTGGAATGTCGTCGTACACGACTGGCTGTACGAGTACGTGTACAAAGATATGTACACTCATGTGTTCCGAGGTTCCAAGGTGGCCGCCTCGCTGGCAGTGTTTATGATCTCCGCTGTGGTCCATGAGCAGGTGCTCGGCTTTGCCCTGCAAATGTTCTTCCCAGTGATGTTCTTCTTTTTTGGTGTCGTGGGTGTTGCCTTGGTATTCCTGATGCGGAGTGCACCAAAAGTGATGGGCAACATCTTCCTGTGGTTCTCTCTGATCCTGGGAAACGCCTCGCTGGTCTCACTATACGCCATGGAGCATTACGCTTTAAAGAACTGCAGCCTGAGCGACCAGAGCTGGACAGATCGCCTGCTGCCGGCGGCATGGCGCTGCTACAATTAGTCAATTAATTATTCACTACTTTTAAACTGTCTGTACACAGGGCGTACGCTTCGATTTGTATTTTAGGTAAATAAACTTAATGAAATTAACAGAAACGATGTCTTCAGTTCAGTTCGTTTCGTGTCTTTGAACTATCCAGCTGAACTGCTCCCTAAAGCTATGGTTTGTAATTTTACATCAGGCTGTCTGATGCTATCTTATGAAACACTGCCTGAGCATTGGTGAGTGCATCCTTGGAAGAGTGACCTTTGAGGGTATGAAATCCCCGGCCTAACCACACAGATTCGCGATGGCCTGAGCCGCATTAGCGGCTGCCACCTGTGGAGCGTCCTCAGCCGGAATGCGTTTGCGTCGGAATAGAATCACATGCGGCTCCGGCGCGTGGACCATGTAGTGCACCCAGCCGGGGCTCTGCTGCACGCCCAGGTTGCGCCACTCCGTCTCGGTCATCAGATGAGCCTTTGGCACATGTTTGGCCAAATCCGGTGGTAAAATAACATGCCTGCAGGGAGGGAAAACGGGTTACGTGTAAACAAACAGTTGATGGCTACTTAAACGCGAGACGCACTTACCTGTATTCAAAGTTGTCGTCGAAGTACTTCTCCGAGTACTGAATTTGATCGGCCGGCATTGCGAAAAGCCAGAAAACCTGAGGTAAATAAAGCAATTTAACCAAAATAGGTCAATAAAATCTGAAAGAGATGGCCCAACTAATTCGATTCTAAATACTATTGTTATCGTTTCAGCTATCGAGTATAAAGCTATCGCTTTGGTTATCAACTGTCCAATTTAACAGCGCCTTTGGCGGGCAATTCAAATATGCTGTTTACAATGACTTGAACTAAGCTGAATTTATTACATTACAGATTTATTTCCGTGTTATAATACTTGTGCAACGTTCAAAGCCATTTTTATTTAAACAAATTAAGTACTTTGTAAAGTGCTACTGTAGAAACTGTTAACATATTTAGCGAATGAAGGAACTCAATGGGATAATATTTGATTTCCAGTGTGACCGGAACACGCAGGCTCTCAAATTTTCCAATTGGAATTGGCAATTTCTCCGTAACTCGCCCATGGGCACACTTGTGCATGTGCGTCGGAGCGCGGGGAGAGGTTCCTTTCCTCCTGGGCAGAGTTTTTATATAAGCCCCTCTATGTGCCACTCGTCTCTCGCCAACAAACCAACAACAACAACCAGCCAGGCCAGCGGGCAACAACAACGCACACGCGTATAAATAAACGTGAACGCATGTACTTAATATTAGCATAGAGTTGTCGCCTGCGTGCATTGCATATACATAGCATAACATCCATATACTCCCATGACAACGGGACCTCAACCAGAAGGAGGGCAACAACAGTAACGGCGGAGCAGCCTGAGGAAGAGGAAGAGCAGAGAACGAGAACAAGAAGAAGAAGCAGTGGAAGAGGTGAGGACACCAAGTAAATACAGTCAAACTTCCATAAATAGAAACGGCAATCAAAAGAATCCTTTAGTGACGAAGCAAGTGGGTTCTAAAACCTAAGAGTACTGTTGTATATACATATACTTCCCATTTACCGTAAAATAGGTAATGACTTAAAATGGCGGTCAATCTAATGCTATTAAATAATTACATAGATACATATGTATGTACGTATGTACTTGCATAGGTACAACAAAAACAGCTTTTAAGTTCGATTGATTTTTGCAGTTCTAGTTGAGGTAGTTTGACTGTATGTATGTATGCACATAAGTAAATACAAGCAGACCGCAATTAGCAAAACTTGTTCAGTCCAGCAGGCACCACCCACCACATACCGCCCAAAGGTTCCAATGCTGGCGTAAAGAAGCCGAAACACCTGCTGCTGCTGCCAGTGGAAAAGCGGGAGGAGCTGCTCCAAACTGCCCAGGTGACATCCAATCGGTTAGAGGCGACGCACCTGCCGCCTTGAGGAACTGGGAGCTACGCAGGAGGACACGGATTCGGCAACGGTCACGGACTCGATTCCGCAGTAGCGGCCACCATGAACGCCAGCCTCATCTATGAGATACTTATGTATCTGAACTCGTTCTACTTTGGCATGTACGCCGCCTTCGAAGTGGGCGTGGGCGTTCTAAAGGCTATCAATCTCAACTACGGCGAGAACGCGTTGTCCCGGGAGGCTAGCATTCTGCTCTCACTGTGCATCATCGAGACCGTGCGCATTGTCTTCGGCCGGAAGAGCAGTCTAAGCGATCGTGGTGAGTACTCCATACTCCACTGGCACTGCCGTAGTGGGGAAAAGTCCAACGGCAGCGATGATGACATGGCAAAATATTTGTTTGCCCGGTCACCATACCCCATTTCATGCCATACCCCTGCCACCGCGATTATAACCCATAAACGTTTGGGCGTACATATGTATATGTATCTAGCCCGCACGGCGTATGCGTAATTATGGTCATCACCCCGGATGAAAAAACGCGTTTTATGGTGGCAGGGGTAAGGCGCCCTTCTGGCACATTAAGCAATATGCAAAGCAAATCTATCAAAGCGAATCATCAAAATGAGTTATTGGAAAAGCAATTGAGGCTGTAAATATTATGAGTTCTGTCGGATAAACATAAAATTATTACTATAATAGTTTGAAACACTGAATCAATTTCAATCGAATAAACTATAAATTATAAACAAACAAGACGGATTATACGATTTTTCGTGCATCTGTTGCTAACATTTTCCTTGTTTTTCTATCTTTGCAGGCTGGCAAGCAACCGCATCCGTAATATTAACACTGCCCAGTCTTGCTATTGTTATCTACTTGTGTTGTTTTCAAACCTTTGTTCTCAAACTCGAAATTATTCTGAGTGCCTTAATGATCACCCTACAAGGTGCTGAACTAGTCTACGCCAGCATATTCATTTGTACAATGTGTCGCCCCGTCACATACACCTAGCAGTTGATAAGCCGCGTTGCCGCCGCCACGTCAACGACCAAGATCGAGATCAAGACCAAGCCAGCACTAACACTCCCACCTGGAGGAGAAGGAGATGATGCATCCACAGCCGAGCGACGACTACGACGAAGACGATACACTTTCCTCTGGCACTTTCACATCAAGCGATTAGCAAAGGCCTCAAAACTAAGCCACTTTAATGCAGACTAAGCCGCCGCACATAAAAACAAAACAAAAAATACTATACTAGACCGCCTAGGGATCCACGCTAAACAACCCGATATTGGAACAAACTTCGTAGCGAAACATACCCATTGGATGGCAGTTTAGAAGGATTTTCAACAAGGTACGTGGACCTTTATCAACTTATATAATCCGCACAGATCATTCGCGCCCGCGGAAATCACAACGCAGCGAAACACGACGCGTCCGATTATATCAAAAGCAAAGCTGCATTTAATTTGCATTTCTTGGTTGCATTCTTTTGTCCGTGCTGGCGCAGTTGCTCCTCGGACCCGCTCGGTTCTGGTATTTTTATACGGCTCTGATGGTCTAAAATTATATGCGAACTGCATGGCTCGTGCAACACGGCTGCACTGTCCCCTAGGTGCAATGTACACTTCTAATTTGAATGTAATATACACGGCCCACAGCGGGCACGTTAGCCTGGCTGTAATGGCCAGTTGAGAGGGCTGTTTATTGTCAACTTGGCTAGCCCACATGCCCCGTACGATTTACGTGAGAGAGCCTCTAGACACATTAGCGGGGCATAATGGTTTTAACGCTTTATGAGTTCATTTTATTATATGCCTTCTAAACGTATTTTAAATTACATTTAAACACCACCGATGCTTGGCTTACATACACCTAACCTGCCCTGCATTTCAAGGTTCCCATTTAATGGCAGTTCTGTGCCTTGGGGATTATTCCACCTAGGGAGTTTTAAATGGTGTACTTTCCTACTAGCCTAGTGATGGCCAGTGAAATCATTCTCCCCACATTTCTAGGCAGGCTATCTGCCGGTCAATGCTGACCCAAACACCGAGCAGAGAAAACAAATAAAAAAGGCGACAACGACCAGCAGCACATTATTCAAATAAACAGCACATTTCGCAGCGACAAACCGTGAGACCGCCGTACCGATGCCGATGCCGCAGCCGCTGCAGTGGCCAAGCAAGCAGCACGGCAGGTTCGCGTTATTATTATGGTCAGTCTATAAATACAGTGCCCAACGTGAGCAACGCCGCCGTGTGAGCGATCCGGGAGATCAATTCGGTCCAATTTGTAGACATCAAGGGGAAGGAAACAGGAGGAAAAGTAGAACCAGCAGCCAGAGGAGGAGGTGCTAAGCCGGCAAAAAGATGCCGCCCAAGCGTCCGCCACCGCTCGTGCCGAAGAAGCCCAATCCCAGCATGAACTACGAGGTGTTGATCTACCTCAACTCGTTCTACTTCGGCATGTTCGCCTGCTGCGAGATGGCCATGGGCCTCCTGAAGGCCATCAATCTCAGCTACACGGGACATTCGCTGGCCCTGGACACGGGGGTGATGATTGGCTTCATTGTCTTCGAGACGATCCGATTGATAATGGGGCGCATGAGTTCGCTGGCCGATCGAGGTAGAGGCTCCCGCTCGCTTGCTGGTCTAATTATAGGATATGCTAAAACAACAGAATCACCCTCTATAGCGTTATCAATCGTCTAGTTAATCAAACGGAACTACTAAACTCAAAAACTGAATAGCTCATTACCATGTTTATATTAAGATTTGGTTATTATAGTAGTATCTATGTCATTTAGAATCAGTTAATCTAACCCAGATTCTAATGAACCCTTCTGCTCTTCGCACACAGGTTGGTCGGCCATACTGTCGGTCTTCATGACCGCCCCCTGCTTCGTGGGCGTCTCCTATCTGCTGCTGCTGCAGACCTACCGACTGCGCCTGGAGTACTGCCTGTGCACGCTGCAGATCGCCCTTTACCTGACCGAGGTGTGGTATGCCATCGTCTTCGTTTTCTCGCTGTGTCGTCCAGTAACTTATGATTAGCCACATAGACAGAAACACCAGCCAACTAGCAGCAAATATACATGCGAAAGTTTAGCAAACCACACGATCGAAAAAGGATAGTGTGCAGTGTAATGAAATGTAATGAAACTGAGTAGCAGTAGGCAGCTGAATTGCTCATGGCCGAGGAGGAAACCAAACAAAAAAGGAAACAAAACAAAACAAAACACATATGTAGCATATTAATAATTATGTATAGTAAGGTTTATGATAACATACACACACTCTTATATACATATATTTAACGGTTTTATATACAAAAATTGTTAACATTTAAGCATCAATTGGAACCAATATAAGACAACAAGCAAAACCTAAAACTTGAATAATTTTCACAATTTTAAGATGACAATTTTTTTGTAAAAAAAATATTGAAAACAGCCGAAAAACAAATTTAATGTGTGGAAATAATAATTTATAATAGTTCACAGATAGCTCGAGTCTTAAAAACAATTGTAAAAAATCAGTAGAATATCTCACAAAATCTAGTCAGAATGAGAATCATGAATCAGATGGCCAAGAGGGCATTCAAGTAATTCATTATCACCAAGCCACGCGGTTAATATTTCATACCGATATTCAAAAGCAGGAGAAAACAACAAGAACAGAGCCGCGCATAATGAAGCCCAGTTAAAAGTCTAAACCATGTGTGTACTTTAATGAAACTACTTTATATAAAACTAGCAAGTAGCGTAAATAACATGTTCAAGACGGTACTAAAAAACAAAGTAAACCCAAGCGGTTTGTCCGCTTTACAAGAAAGCGAAAAACAAATTAGCTAAGTCATATTAAACATTGATAGAGTGTTAAAAACTAGGCAAAAACCCTCCATTTTGCTGCCGCAATATCCTTGCGAAACATTTCTTCTCCAATTCTGCCTATTGGCAACTCAAAACACCCAGTAAATCACGCTCAATTATCCCCGCCCGAATCGAGGATTGCAGCTCCTCTGATGCTAGTCACTAATGTCCAAAAACATTGTTTAAGCTACACCAAAGATTGTGTATAATTTGTAAGAACTTTGTGTGGTTTCATAGCAGAATAACGCACAAACTGATCACAAAAACTCGCAACAGTCCACAAATCTCATGCTTTTAAAACGAAGGAAACAATTTTACTGAAACCAAACAGCTGGAAGCTGAAAGAAAACCAAAGCCACAATCCTAAGTTGAATAATTTACCTGTATAATATTTATGTAATTTCGTTAAACGCAAAATGTTAACATACTTTTAAAGCGCGTGTAAAACGGATAGTTAATAAACAAAACAACAAACAAAAATTTAAAAGAACCTATACACTCGATGAAAATGAATATTAAAGATCGAAAGAAAGAACCAACATCTGTTATTAGTAGGCCGTGGGTTCAGTAAGATCTTTTCGAGTATGATAGATGTATTTTATTTTGTGCCTCCAAAATTTCAGATATTCAGCTACACACAGACAGGTCTCCGAAATTAGTAAACTCTATAAATTCAAAACCAGAACTGCTGCAGGCCAGTGGCACTTTCGAAGATCCGGCAAAGTTTATTTGTCAGCGGGAAACTCAAGCCATCGCCATGGATCGAAACCACAAGTCGGGTGAGTTAACCGAAAGTAGCATCCTTAAGTCGTTAAGCCAATGTGCTTTCTTTTTCCAGAAGAGACCTTTGGACGCTCAATGTCCAGTAGCAGTCGCCGCGTCATGTGGAAGCTCAACGAGGAGGAGGAAACCTTCGACTCCCTGGTCAACTATCGGCGCCTAACCACGCGCAGCCTGAGCCGAGGTCAGGTGACCGATGTGCCCACCAAGAGACGCACGGCCTCAGAACACTGGCAAGAGGTTAACACAAAGAGCGCCAGCACCGGCGAAAGCGAAGTGGGCAAAAAGTCGGTTAGCCTACGGGAACCAACCTGGAATGCCACGCACTCATCGGCCACCTCACTGCCGGAGCCCAAGGAGATCAGCTCCAAGGAGCAGGCGATCATCTACTGGCGGCGTCTCTTTGACGGAATCCACAAGCGTCAGCGCGGCGAAAAGAAAGTTGCAGCAACGGAGCCCGCGGATTCGACAGATATCTTGCTGACGGCCAAGCCAAGCTTGGCATTGCGCTACAAGCCCTCCCACGAGTCGCTGAAGAACAAGCGGAGCAAGGACCTGGCTACTGAACGATGCCCGAGCACTTCCCAGGGATCAACCTCCTGTAAACTGGTATCGGACCTCAAGATGGAGGCGTTCAGCCTGCCGCCGCAGCAGATGTGTGTTGTACGCGAGGTGGAGCCTCGGTTTGGCCAGCGTCGGCGCATGTCGTTAGCTAACGACACGGATTCATGCTACTCCGGCGAGCTGGAGGTACCCAAGAACAGTCCCGTCCAGGACCAGGAGCCATCGCCATATTCGCGCAGCGAACTGATCAGTGTCCATGTCTCGGCGCCCACATCTCGGCGGAGCACATCGCCAATTAGGCGCCGCACTGCGGCGAGCAAGGTGGCCGCCGGGACGAAGGTCGGATCATCACCAGCAGCACCAGGGGGCAACAAGTGCTCGAGTGTCAGCAGCGGGAGTGCAGGCACCAGCCAGCTGCCCACTTTCCGCCAGCGGCAGTATGAGCTGCATCGCTATCGCGTTATGATCGAGCAACGGCGCCTTGATCTGCTCGAGCTCAAGATAGCCCGCGAACGCGAGGAGGCGCTGCACAACGAGGTCCTGTTCCACAAGGAGCTGCAGATCAAGGAGAATGCCATCAAGGCGTACGAGGACAACGACTGCTCGAACGCCTAGGACTTTCTTTATTCCTACCGCTTTTTCGGCCCTAAATTCATAAAGGTTTCTAGCAGTTCGTAATAGCTCTGGCCTCAGCAGTTCAAAGCACTCAGTCAAATAAACCCAAAACTCATTTAGACATCCCAATCTAAGTTTTTTTATTAACTAGTTGAGAAAGAAAAATCCCTTAATGAATACTGCAAAATGTTCCTATAAATTCTTGTTAGAATCCCAACACCTTGGCGCGTAATTTAAAATTGAATGTCATTGCTCGCTTACAACACTGGCAGTGTTTGCGTTTCGCTGTGAATGGACATTAGCCCCAACCAACTCTTTTTATTTTATTTCTTTAAATCAAAAACGTGAAATGTTAATAAACGTGTGCCGAGTTTGCGGCAGGAGCCGGCTGTGCCCCAAAGCCGTGGCGCTCTTCCAGCCCGGCAGACGGGATGTTCTTCGCCGCATCCAGCTGATAACCGGAATTCGCGTGAGTGAAGCATAAAAATGGATCGCTCAATTTACATATGTATGAGCACTTCCTTTTTTTTTTTTGTGCAGCTTCAGCAGATTCCCAATGCTCCGGATATGGTGTGCTTCTGCTGCCAGACCGATCTCCACTCGGCCATGATTTTCCGGAGGCAGTGCATCCTGCAGCAGAAGAAGTGGGTGCCCTTACAGCAAACCGATGAAGTGGGGGCCAACGAGAAAGAGAAGGTAGAGCCCAATGATCCCTCACCCAAGAAGAAAACGAACCAGCGGCGAAAGGGGCGAGCCAGGATGCCACTGGAAATCGTCGATATTGTCGTAACGAACGAGAATAAAACTTCAGCGGATGCTGCAGTTGGTGATGATGAATTTGATCAGCCGGTGGAGATCTCCAATGAGCCGGATGCCACGGATAGCGATGTTAACCTGGAGGAAATAGATCTACCGGATGAGGATGGCTTGGAGTCGGATCAAGAGTTACCCAATGTTCAAATCCACAAGTGCGCCATCTGTGGAGTTATTAAAAACAATAAGTCATCTCTGGACAGGCACAAGTTTGAGCACTCCGGACTAAGGCCCTTTCCCTGCAAGTAAGTGCACACTTTACTTTATACTTTTACTGATGTTTAAATAGGTTTTAACAATCAACCTCATTATCTAACTTCTTGGTATCTGGTCCATTATCTCGAATCCGATCAGCGTACATTGTACACACACACATATGTAAATTCGTTTTCTGCGTACAGTATCAACATTAAGAATCTGTATTTTACAGGGAGTGCCCAAAGACCTTTTTGGCAGCGAGTGAGCTGAAGGTCCACAATCTGGCCCACCACACCGTGGAGCCCCCGTTCGCCTGTCGCTACTGCGATCGTCGCTACTTCTCCGTGGTGGGCAGAAAGAAGCACGAGCGTGTCCACACCAACGAGCGGCCCTTTGTGTGCGAGCAGTGCGGCAAGGCCTTCACCAGGACCTGCATCTTGAAGGCCCATATGGCGTCCCACCAAGATGTAAGGAAGTATAGGTACTTGATGAAATCAAAGCATTCCCCTCAGGAAACATTGTGTTATCATATGTCATTCCCTTTGCAGCTGCGATGTCTGCGATCGCTCGTTCAGCCTGAAGAAGCACCTCGCCACCCACTTCATCTCAAATACCCATAAGCGAAACGCTGAAGCCATCTCATCGTCGTCGGAATACATGTCCATGCTCAGTTTTGAGTCCGATGAAACCTGGTCCCAAGGCACCCCACTGATCAGTTCCATTGACGAAGATCTAGTGCAGTCGCAGTTCGACATTTTGTGCCAGGAAGTTTAACACAGCTCAAGAAGCCATATGATTTATCAAAATACCAAAAACAAAGATCAGCTAATCCACAAAGACTTAATAACAGCTGAAAGCACAAAAGACAATATCAAGTATCGGTCTAAAAATATTGGTGAATTTTGAAAATTCCTTAAAACCCAGCAACACTAAGACAGCTTCGGAAGTAAATAATGCTTTTTATAGTTTGTAGTTTTTAAATGGCCATATTATTTGAGACTTTTTGCTATTTTTTGCATAATTTACAGTGCACTGCAATTGGTCGTTTGCTTCCTTAATATCACAAAAGTGCCTATATGGTCTTACCAGAGACATTAATTATACCCACATACTTATTGGGCTGAAAAGGTATTTTTAGTGTGAAAACCTAAAAATCTTACAAATTTAGAATCTCAAAAATATTGAAGTTTTGAAACTTTTACAATCGTCTTCCAAATAGTAACTAACAAATTATTGTTATATTTCATATTTGAAACAAAATTACTAACTCTTAACTTGTAGTTATTTAAGATATATTCAGACATCAGGATTTAACCCACAAGGTACAAAAATGAACAAACAATTTTAAATGAAAACTCTCTGAATACATATTGACACATTTTTACGTGAACTTTGTGTATATACCAAAACAAAAATATAAAGCAATTTGTTTTGTTTTTAAAAGTTGATACTGCACATCCTTAGCTTGCAGATGGTACTTATTTGAAGTATAATACCCATGGTTCAGTTTGATGATTTCATTATTATTTACACCTATTATTAAGTTTACATTTTGTAGGCAGTTTCTGTTTTATCAGACTGCTCCAGTTGTTAACAGATTAATACTTATTCAAATAAAGATTGGAACTTTACAAAACTCTCCCTCCATTGCTGCCATGAATGAATAATTTATCCCGTTTTCCTCTAAATGGGATCACCATACAATTGCCATTCTATCAGTCGAGTTTAGTGATCGAGATGCTGAACAACGTCTGTAGAGTCTGCGGAAGGCAGAAGATCTGTGAGAAGAGCCTGAATCTCTTCGATTTGGCCAACCGAAAATATCTAAAGCACTTGCACATGATAACCGGACTGAGGGTGAGTGGAAAGGTTGCTGAAAATATGTATAAATAATATCAGTACCAGTTGTTGGAGTTGGACGATGTTCCCGGTTTCATGTGCCTTTGCTGTCAGTCGGAACTCAGATCGGCATTGGCATTCCGGAAGCTTTGCATCAAGACCCAGAGTAAATGGCTTACCATCGAGGACGACTTGTCGTCGGGTGAAGAAGATACCAAGGCCAAGTCGCAGCTGGAATCGGAAAAATGCGTGTTGGTCGAAGAAATCTTTCAGGTACTGATTGAAGAGGAGTCCACGGACCATAGTCTGATTCGAGACACGGAAGCAGAGCAGAAGGAAGATGAAATAGATGAGAAGTGGGTACCTCCCCGAAAGGTTCCCAAAGTATCAACCAAACTGGATGACCAAATTTACATATGCGAGCTGTGCGGGACCCATGCCACATCGAAATCCGTTTTCCAACGCCACATGAGAAAACACACAGGCGAACGACCCTTTGGCTGCAAGTAAGACCCGCTCACAGATTACAATTGCAGATTGGCATGCTAATTTCGCATTTTTTTAGCAATTGTACGGCCAGGTTTCTTTCCTCTGGTGAACTACGTGCCCACCACCGTGTCCACACCGGGGAGCAACCGTTTGCCTGTCGCTTCTGCGAGAAGAGGTATGTCAGCTACATGGGTCGCCTGATCCACGAGAGGACTCACACCAACGATCGACCCTATGTGTGCGAAGAGTGTGGCAAGAAGTTCACCACAGCCTACGTCCTGAGGAACCACATGGTCATCCACACGGGCGAGAGGAATTTCCGGTGCGAGCTCTGCGATCGCTCCTTCCAGAGGAAGGCGCACCTGGTCACGCACTCCCGATCCATGATGCACCTCCAAAATGTGGAGAGTCGGAAAGGCAATGCCAATTGATCTTGAGGCATTACTTAGCTCCAGCTATGAAATGTTAAGAACAACATGTTTCAGGAGATAAAAAAGGTAATCGTTTCTGAGACTAACCTAACAATTTTGATATTTAGGTTCTAAGAAAGACGAACTGAGTTTTAATTCAAGTGGTATACTAAATATGTGTACTACACATAAATGAAATAAATGGGTAATACATTTAAGGGTAATTACCTAATTTTGTGGGACACCGAAAACAATAAATTTGTATTGATTGTATAACTAGTTGGATTTAAATTAGTAGCAGCCGTTACGATTTAGTGGTCTTATAAGACACCAGTGCTGCAAAACGTCTCAGGTGGGATAGCTAGTGCGATGCTTCGGGGCAAATGTCAAATCAGTTTTGGGTGGCTGTCTTGTTTACAATTAGAAATTTACCAATTAGTTTCGAGTAACCTGGTAAAATGCTGCAAAATGTGTGCCGCGTGTGTGCCAGCAGCACGGACAACTCGAAGTCACTGAAACTATTTAACAATGGTGCCCGGAAAGTGCTGCAGCAAATCAACTTGCTCACCGGTGTTCTGGTAAGCCTACGAAATACAATGATTTCATTAATTAAAATGTTATATCCTTTATGGCAGCTGCAATGTGTACCCGATTTACCCGACTGGATGTGCGAGACCTGCCAGGCGGATCTGAATAGCGCCATATCCTTCCGCGATCGCTGCCTGAGCAGCCAGAAAATATTTGAGGAGTCGCTGGTCAGGAGCGAAGCAGCCACATCGCGCTCCTCAGTTCGACGCAGTGCCCGCTCCCAAAGACACCGGCATGAAGACACCGCTCCAAAGACGCCAGCAAGTCCGCTGGAGGTAATGATTAAGCTTGAAAGCCTGAGCAATGGTGACGAGGAGGACGACGGCATCGATCACCTGGACTCGTGCAACGAAGCAGACATGGAGCTGGCCATCAAAGCGATGTCCAGCTCTTCCGAGGATGATGAACCCACCTCACCGGTCAGATTGAAAAGAACTCGACGTCGGCTACTTAAGAAAGGCGGGAAAAATGAAAATCGCCCCAAAGTTACGCTTCCTGTTTTCTTTTGCGATCAGTGCGGCAACAACATTACGGGAAAGTCCTCCTTCGACCGTCACCTGCGCAAACACAGCGGCATTAGACCCTTCCAGTGCGAGTAAGTAAGCATTTAGCTACACAATGATTAGGTCTAATGATTACTGTGTAATTTTGCACCCATGCAGACTCTGCCCCGCCCGCTTCCTCTCCTCCGGCGAGCTGAAAGGACACCAAGTGATGCATACTGGAGATCGCAAGTTCCAGTGTCGGTACTGTGACCGCACCTACGTCAACTACAGTGGTCGCCTGCGTCACGAACGGACTCACACAAATGACCGACCCTTCATTTGTGCGCAATGTGGCAAAAGCTTTACCAATTCGTACATACTCAAGAACCACATGCTTATCCATACAGGCGAGCGCCTGTTCAGGCTAGTAAACTATCATTTTGACCAAGTCCATAATTCACCTAGCCTATCCGTTGCAGATGTGAGCTGTGCCATCGATCCTTTGCGCGACCCACCCACTTGAAGACTCATTTCCGCTCCAATACTCACAAGCACAACGTGGAGAAATCCAAGGCAGACACGGGTGGTGTTCAGTCAGCGGATCAGGTTAAATTCGTGACGGAAAAGGAGGCAGAACCAGGGGCGGATGCCTTTACGATAGAAGTGCCTTTGCCCGCTGAGCAGGAGCAAGATGAGTCCTTGGGCCTGGCAGCTCTGGAAACATCCACTCTAATGTACAGTACAAATTAGACCTTAACGAGTTCATCTCAACCTTTTAAAGCCAAATATAGTTCACATTTTGTTTATTCCCTTCGAGTTTTCTGTAAAAATAGCTTTTTTATGAAAGAGTGTTTAGCTAAAAACTTCTTAATTGAAATCATTTAACGGTTCATTAATTATTGTGCCTGCCTTTCGTCTGTGAGCATTTGAACGATAATGGGTATTAAGGTGTGTATCGCGACTGAATGACTTATCGCACAGGTCGCACCTGGAAGGAGAGAAGCTTGTTAGAAACGTTTAGTTAATGTTTTAATTTCCCGCTTACCTAAAAGCCTTTTCACCGGTATGCACAAGCATGTGGTTCTTAAGAATATAGGATGTGGTGAAAGCATTGTTACACTCCTTGCAGACAAAGGGCCGTTCGTTTGTGTGAGTCCTTTCGTGCTTCAATCGAGTGCTGTAGTCCGAGAAGCTGCGGGAGCAGTGTCTGCACTTAAAAGGTTTCTCCCCGGTGTGTTTGCGAACGTGGCGCTTCAGTTCCGCCGGCGTGCAGAAGCGATCCTCGCAGAATCTTAAATGAGGAGAATTAGTTAGGATCAACATTGAGTAGAATAGCCACTTACTCGCATCCAAACTCCTTGACGCCGCGATGTCGCTTACAGTGCAGTATAAATGCAATTCGTCCTTTTATGTGATTTCCGCACTCCTCGCAAACGTAGGTGCCATTGGAGTCGCAGGGTTTCCGACGTTTTCTTCTTTTCTTTGGACTTTCAGCGCCTGAATTGAGCTCTTGCATGACATCTACTTCAGGATCGCTTTCGTAAATAAGGTAATCCACTTCATTATAATCGATATCGTCATCATTATTTGGCTCGTCCTCGTTGATTTCAGCTTCACTAAGAATGTCTTCCAATTTAAAACCGGAGCTTTGGCTGGGTTCTTCATTGAAATCGTCCAATCGCTCGATTTCTATGCTGATTTGTGACAGTTCCAATTCTCCCTCCTGTTTAATGACCCTTTTCGAAGATTCCTGACAGATTTTAAGGAAGTCTTCATCATCTAGGGAATGAAGCAGCTCCCTTTGCACTTCCAAACAGCGTTCCCGAAAGGATATGGCTTGTTGCACACAAGTTTGGCAGGACGCACATAAACGATTTGGCAACGTACTACAGTTCTTAAACTTTAAAAACAAAATGTGAGTTCAATATACTATTTACACATTAATTAATATTCTCTCACCGAAGCCCCAGTTAGTAGTTTGATGTGTTCCAGTGTGGTTTGATTGCGCATTTCAAAAATATTCAATGATCTTTCGGCATTTGTGCGCTTTCCACAAGTGCGACACACTTTCGCTTCCATTTTTTTAGCCGCTAAAACAATTGAAATATGTATAATGCCTTCGAATTTGTTGTAAACAATGCTATGCTCGTTTCAATCAGCTGTTCGGTTTTGCCATTCGCATGGAAGCGAATTTACGAATGAAATTAATGTTCAGTACTTGGGATTTGAAGCTTGGATTTATTATTCAAGATTAAATTCTACATATTACAAATGGTTTTGTTTATTCTTCGCAGAAATGCTCCTTGGCTGTGCGCCATTGTCGTTCCAGCATCGCCTGTAATTGCTATGTATATATATATATATGTGGGCCAGATTTAGATGTGCAGGCTGTCCTCCTCCTCCTCCTTGAGTTCACGTTTCTGCTCCTGCTCCAGGTTCTGTTTCATCTCCGCCTTCTCCAGGTGTCGCTTGTGTACGCCGGACCGGAAGTGGGTGCTCAGGTGGGTGGGCAGCATAAAGGACTTGTCGCACAGCTCGCACCTGGAAGGGAAGATTCCGCATTTTACC